CCAAGTGCTAAGTGTACCTTCAGAAATTCTATCCATTAGTCTAAGGATGAGGAGTTAATCAAGCATCATGTCTCCCTGTTACTCTTCTTCCCACAACTGTTCCCTTCTCTCTCTTCCTAAGTCCATATCTCATATCTATAGCGGTAGGCACTGAAATGTGACCTAGAGCCTTCTAGCCTTTTGTATACAAGCAAAAGGCGGCTGTGACTATAGGAGATAGCATTTTAGAGAATGAAGTTATGTTTGAAACTGGTATGCAGGTCCCTCATTGGCCATTTCAGTCACCCAGACAGTGTGACCTGCCATCTTGAAGCCTCTATGAAAACAAAGGACAGTAGTACCCATATACATCAAACCAGGACTTCCGCTACGATCAGCCCTTGGACTGCATGTGTAGAAATGTGCCTGTATGACCCTCAAAAAAATGGTCCTTTCTGTTTTGGTTGCTCACTTCCTGTTGAGTCAGAGATTAATTTTATTTGCTCTAGTACAGCGATTTTCAACAGGTATGCCACCAAAATTTTTAAAACCTGCAGTATCTGACTAGTCAGGGAAACTGACCACTTTTCCCTTAGATTGTCAAATTAAAAAAAAAAAAAATGACAACCAACATGATAGCCGCCTGGTGTGAATGAATCAAAATTATATCAATTTTTTGTCAGATTGACAAATAATATATTTTTGGTGTGCTTCAGAATTTAATAATTAGTTTATGTGTGCCATGAGATGAAAAAGGTTGAAAATCGCTGCTCTAGTGAGTCAGCCCTGCCTCGTTGCCATGGTCAAGGAGATTCACAGTTCATGAGTTCATGCCAATCCCAGGAGTGACCGTCAGATGGCAGCATCCAGCTAGTTAGTGTTGGTGAGAGATTCCCACTTCCACTCCTACCCTATTCCACCCATGATTAAACTCTGTTACTAGAGAGAAGCAACTCTGAACATAAATGTCTTTAATATCCTGAATATTTGGGGAGTGGAAAGAGAGAGGGAGTAGAAGATGTGGAAAAAGCACTGATTTTAGGCTCAGATAGGTCTTGGTTCCTTCCTTTCCTCAGTCAACAGAAGCAATGTTCTGACACTATATGGCAATGCTTTCTTTGATGTGGCTCTGAAGGTTTTTGTTTAGTTTTGTGTGTTTTTTTAAAAACAACTCTATTAAACTTATGCTTATTTTACACTGCTGAAAATGCCAACAAAATGATTCTGCAACTAGAGTCTACAGCAAACTAACAACAGCTATTGAGAAGATAGACACAGCATGAAGGATACATGCACGATGATGGATTATATCACCAGGGCCTAGTTTTTAGGTTGTGTATAGAAACAGCAAGGAAAGAAGACACAGTCCGAGTCCTCTTTTGTGGAGATTGTGCTGTTGACATTTATTTTCTTTTATCAGTCAATTCCACAAGCCAGGGAAACACCTTCATTCCCTATACCAGTGGTCAGCAAACTCATTAGTCAACAGAGCTAAATATCAATAGTACAACGATTGAAATTTCTTTTGAGAGCCAAATTTTTTAAACTTAGACTATATAGGTAGGTACATTGTTATTAACTTAATTAGGGTACTCCTAAGGTTTTGAAAGAGCCACACTCAAGGGGCCAAAGAGCCGCATGTGGCTCACGAGCCCCAGTTTGCCGACCATGGCCCTATACCCATATCATTTCTTCATTCATTAGTTCCCTTGTTTTGTTTATTAGTTCATTCAGCCAATATTCACTATTTTCAGAGCACTTTGGCTAGATACTCCCTTTTTTACTTTTTTAAAATAGGATTTATAAGATTTCAAAAAAAAAACAACACAACCCAGCTCAATTTTAATACCATTAAAAGAATGCCAATGGGGATGCCAATTTTTATTTTTAAAATAGCCATGGGGATGCCAATTTAGCATAAGGAATATAGTCAAGAGCATTGTAATAATTATGTATGGTGTCAGATGGGTGCTGGACTTTTGGGGTGATCCCTTCCTAAGGTATATAAATGTTTAATCACTGTGTGGTACACCTGAAACTGATATAGTATATGTCAACTGTAATTGAAAATTTTTTTAATTTGAAAAAAGAATAGACATATGAGAAGAAAGGCTAACCCTAAATGTTACTCTATCCTTTTCCCAACACCTTCCTCAATTCCAAGATGTCAGGAATTAAAATCAGTTTACAAACTCTCATTGGTGTATCCTGTCTGTCCAAACCTTTGGGAATCAGAGTCTCCAGGGAAACAAACAATCTCCAAAGATCACATGACTAGAGAATTTCCTAAGAGTCAGACAACTCCAGTTTCATTTAGATCTGCCTTTTTTCCCTTTTCACACCCTGACCATACAGGACATATACACTTGGCCATCCAGCCAGTCAGTCTCTGCCCTGAGTCACTGTACCGGCTATAGCACCGTCTCTCTATTAAAGAGAAAAGTTCCTTCTTTCAGAGAAGATCATGTTTGCAAACTTTTTACTCTTTGGGAAGCAGTGATGAGAAAAGTTGTGAGCAGAGAAGTGGGAGGAAAGAGTAGATTATAGAGTTGACAAATATTAGATTGCCATTCTCACCTCCTCTGTCTGGTGTCTATTTCTTACCTTCCTTTCTCCTACCTCTTGGTTTCTCTCCAGGCACCTCCAAGGGAGTGATGGCTCTCCAGAAGACCCTTTCATTGCTTCTGCTCTCGCTGCTGACCCTGCTGGGGCTGGGGCTGGCGCAGCCCTCCCATCAACATTTTAAGTATGAACGATTCAAGGAGCAACATGTGGACTCTATAGGGCCAGGTGGCACCAACTTGTACTGCAACACTGAGATGCAAAGACGGGGGATGACTTTGAGTGGTTGCAAGCAATTAAACACCTTCATCCATGCAGGCATCAGTACCATTAATAACATCTGCAACGCCCCCAATATCCAGTGCAAGAATGGCATGATGAACTGCCATGCAGGTTCAGTGAGCGTCACAGACTGCACATATACAGGAGGTTCCGCGCCCTACAACTGCAGATATCAGGCCACTCCCAGCACTAGGCCTGTTGTCATCGCCTGTCAGGTTATGCCCATGCCTGTGCACTTTGACAGATAGATGCTACCCTACAGGGGTTATGGCCCCATGGTTGACCTTTTACTTGTTCCTTGAATAGCAATGAGTAATGCATTTGAGCTATTTCAGGCTCTGCCTCCTCTGCTTATTACTCCCTGTTCTCTATATAATCCATTCTGTTAAATGCATCAAAGAGAAATGGAGACACAACCATATAATGGGACTGGGCTTTTCTGTAATAAAAATTTCTACAAACTCTTCTGTTTCCTTTTATAATACTAGTCAGCTTAGCTCTCTCAGATCCTATCTTCTGGAATTTAGTTACTATGTATTTGATATAGCATTACAAGTATTTTAAGGTGCTTCCATCTCAGTTATCTAATTTTAATACCACCGCACCCCTGCGATGCTGATGTTGCTACATATAGGGCCCAAAGTTAAAGGATTTGCTGAAGATCATGAAGTTAGTGGAAATGCTGAAGCAACAAATCCACTTCAACTGGCTACTAATCTGGGACTTTTTCTACTTCATCATAAGGAGTGTTTTGAGAGTATCATCTTTTTAATATCCTCAAAAGTCAGCAGTTGGGGGAAGCATTACAAATTTGAAAGTATAAACTGGCAAAATGAGACTTCATTTTGTACAATTATCTGTATAATTGGCAACCTTGTTATGTTTGGATCTAATAAGACTAAGACATGATACAAAGAACTTTATTTTTCTCTTCCCAAACTTTTGAATCATTGTAGTAAGTTAAAGTATTAACAATGTACTAGATCATTAAGACTCATTCACTCTTTCTGATTTAAAAGATTTTTCATGTATTCCTTTTAATAAAGAATTCAAACTGCAGATATCTGTGAATATGGTGCTATGGCATTTATGTGGAGATTTTTTTTCTTCTATCCTCTTTTAATATTTTCTAGTTTTTAACATGCACCAACACCTTAATGACCTCATAAACTGGTTCACGATTAAAACCTATTGGATCAATGACCATGGATCAATGATCACGACACAGAAACATTTGTGTCATTTACTAAAGACAATTTCACACCCCTCCCTTTCCCCTTTGATTATTTTGAAACAAATTGAGGAACAGAGATGTATGAAGACACCAGCAGCTATGAAGGGAAGTATGTATGTGAGAGTGTGTGTGTGTGCATGTGTGCATGTGTGTGCATGTGTGTGTGCACGCACGCCCCCGTGAAAGGACCAAACAAAATATTTGAATTGCAGAAAATATCCATTGTTTATATTTGAGGTGTGCAACCTGATAGAGTACACATTTGCACTGTGAAAGAATCACTACAATCAAGGGAATCAATGTATCTGTTACCTCACATGGTTACCAAAAGTGACTCTATTTTGGACTGTTTCCAACCATTCTTTTCAACACTACTGAACATCACAGCTTAGCGCAGCCAGTTTCTACTGAATGCATATTGCTTTCACACTATTGTAAAGTCAAAAGATCATAGGCATGAAAATTCATGAGTAAAATTGTGAATTATTTTTGCTAATACAAGTCACTAGACTAAAACTTAATAACTAACCAAATTTCAGCCTCTTCCAGAGGTGGAATTGTAAACCAATCAATTTGGAATTTCCTGATCAGCACTGGTAAGGTAATCTGCCTGATATGACCCCCTGCCTACCTCTGAATGATGGTGTCCTGCTTAAAATAAACCACTCTCTCAACTTGGTAATCCACCTTCTTTCTGCCTATAAAAACCTCCCATTTTGTACAATTCACCAAAGCGCCTTTCTAGTTGCTAGATGGGGTGCTGCCAAATTCCTGAATTGCTTAATAAAGCCAATTAGATCTTCAAACTTACTTGGTTGAATTTTATTCTTTATTTCCTACCCCCAAGGCCTTGCCATTCCTTTGTACCAGAAGACTGTCTTTGATGTATGACACAAAGGGCTCCAGGCTCTTCTCAGGGTGACCACCAGTGTTCTAGATGAGGAGATAAATTGGTACTGTTTAATAATGCAGAAAACACGATAATTCAAGAGAAACAGAAAAAAATGCTTTATTCTAAGTAATGTCCACTGCTAGCTACACATTTTCCACATCTTTCAGGTAATTTGTGGATACGGTCCCAATAGAGCTTTTCTTGTTTTGAGGCAAACCATTCAGAGTCCCAATTTTCCACTTCTTCATATGTTTTGAAGTGCTGCTCAGAAAGTGCGTGTGCCATCTATCAGAACAAGTGGTAATCTGAAGGAGCAAGGTCTGGTGAATACCTCAGGTGGGCTAATACTTCCCAGGCAAGATCTTTTAACGTGACTTTAACTGGTTTTGAAGTGTGTGATGGGGCATTATCATGAAGCAAAGTTACTTTGCCATGTCTTCTGGCCCATTCTGGTCATTTTACCATCAAAGTGTGGTTCAAATTGATTATTTGTTGTCAGTAGCGATCAGTATTAACAGTTTCACCTGGTTTTAGAAGTTCATAATACACCACACCTTCCTGATCCACCAAACACAGAGCATTGTCTTCTTTCTGAAGTGATTTGACTTTGCAGTCGATGTTGATTGTTGACCTGGATCAACCCATGTTTTTGTGCATTTGGGATTCTCAAAATAAATCCACTTTTCATCGCTAGTCATGGTTCAATGCAAAAAAAAAGACTTTCTTTCATGCCATTGAAGCAACATTTTACTGATGACTTTTCAGTTTTCCATTTGTCTTTTCTTCAGTTGATGTGGCACCCATTTTCCTTCCTTTAAAATCTTTCCCATTGCTTGTAAATGATCAGAAATTGTTTGCTGAGCAACATTTAATCTTTCTGCAAGTTGTTTTTGAGTTTGACATGCATCTTCTTCCAATAATGCTTGTAATTGTTGGTCTTCAAACTTTTTCAGTTGACCTGGATGCTCTTTTTCTTTCACATCGAAATCATCACTTTTAAAGCATTTAAACCAGTGTTCACAAGTATCTTGAGATGGAGCATGTTCACCATAAGCTTCCCAAAGTATATGATAACTTTCAGCAACACTTTTTTCAAAGTAAAGTAATGATTTAAAACCTCCTGCATATGCTCTATTTTTGTCCATTGGTTTGGCTTATATGCATGCATACAAGTCCTTTGGTTGATCTCTTCCCCTTGCCCTCTCCCTCCCCTACTTTCCCTCTAGGGATTAATAGTCTGATAGCTGTTTCTCTGTCTTTGGATCTGTCCCTGTTCATCAGTCTATGTTGTTCTCCATATTCCACAAATAAGTGAGATCATATGATATTTATCTTTCTCTGACTGGCTTATTTCACTTAGCATAATGCTCTCCAGTTCCATCCATGCTGTTGCAAAAGGAAAGTGTTCCTTCTTTTTTACCGCAGCATAGTATTCCATCGTGTAGATGTCCTCACAGGGACCGTTTCAGCCTCACTGGGATCGTTCCAGTCTCACTGGGACCATTTCAGTCTCACAAGAACCATTGCAGCCTCACTGGGACCATTTCAGCCTCACTGGGACCGTTCCAGTCTCACGGGGACCGTCTCAGCCCCACAAGGACTGTTGCAGCCTCACTGGGACCGTTTCAGCCTCACTGGGACCGTTTCAGCCTCACAGGGACCGTTTCAGCCTCACAGGGACTGTCTCAGCCTCACTGGGACCGTTTCAGCCTCACAGCAGTTCCATGTTGCCAGCCCAGCCAGGTCCAGCTTCGGCTTTCTCCGAACCTGAGTCTGCTTCTTGAGTGTGTCCCTTATGCGTGCGAGGAGTTGAAATCTGCAGGTTTTTGGGTTAAGCTGCAAAAGCGCAGGTGGTTCCTTTTGTGCCACTGGCACAACTTGGACGGGGCTGTAAATTGAGTAGGGCAGGGTCTCAGTGAGTCACCAGGACAGAGCAAATAGCAATGGTGTCTCCGTGGCTCTTCACCTCTCTGGGACTCCTGGACTTCGCGTCCCCTAGTGCCAGCGAGCAGCTGCGTGACAGAGCCTCCCTCGCTTTCCGACCCACTGCAAAGCCGTGCCGCCTCTCCCCATGGGGCCTGGTGCCTCAGAATCCCGCCCTGAACAAGCTCAGTGGATTCAAGAGTTTGTAACCACTTCCGATTGAAAAAAACTGCGCATCCAGTTGCAGCCTGCCTGTTGCGTAACTCTGTACCTCTGTTCTTGGCGCCTCTGTATATCCTACTCAGTCTCAATGCTCTTCTTTCTTTCCTTCCAGTTGTAGAGCTTCCACTGCGCCAGCTTTCCCATGGTTCTGAATGATAGTTGTTTGTCTTATAGTTGGTAGTTTCAATGTTGTTGTGGGAGGCAGCACACACAGGTCTATACCTTACACCTCCATCTTGGTTCTCCCTGCATATGCTCTTTTTTTGACATGAAATTCAACATTTTTAAGCATAAAAATATCTATGATGTTAACACTTTCAGAAAATTTGACATGTGAAGTTTTGAAGTTTGTAGTCAATACAACAAAATAGCATAGGTATCAAATCGCATATATATCAACATATATGTAACTCCGTCTATTGAAAAAATTTGCATTATTAATCGATACAACTGGTATATCTGGCTTCCCACCTACACTTGGTTGGACTGGTTACCCTGTCCTGCACAGGAGATATATATATATATATAT